ACATCTTCCTCTTCATCCAAACTATGTAGAAAGAAACGTGGAAGCACAAAAAAATGAGACACAGAGCAACTTAAACACGTATAAATTACTTGCTGTTCTTAGGAGAAACAAAGTATTTACTCATGGAGAGTATGAATTTGCTGCCTTGAACAATGATCGTATATTTATTCTAAGAAGGTGTGTGTTCAATGATGTATGTTTAATGTACATATTCCAATAATAACTTGATTCAATTTGTCGTCAGATTTTTGAAAGATAATCCTACGTATATTGTCGTCGTTAACTTGGGTCTACGACAAGAGAACGTTAACTTAACATCGTTGTACCCAAATTTAGAAGATTCTATGAAAATTATCGTTGCTTCCAGTAATGCAGTTCACATTACGTAAGCGTGTTAATCTTAAACTCTAATTTCCACCAGGAATTCGCGAAACTAACTCGCGGTATTTAATTTGAATTTTTCAGAGAGACTATTTCGGCGCAAGATCTCGTGCTCACAGCGAATGCTGCGTTCGTACTAAAGGCCAAAGAGATTCCATGTGATTGCGAAACATCTCCTACCACAAACGCAACAACCGTATCTCCTATAACTTCCACAACCGAAAAAAATTCGGCTGTTGCCTCTTCGCCGATGTTGCATTTAATAACAAGTACAAGCATCGCTGTGATATTATTCAAAATGTCAGCATTTTTATAAACCAGACTTTTGTGGAATAAAAATTTGAATCACTGATGTGTCGAAGTAACGATAGTACTTTAAACGAGATATTTCTACATTGAAAGATTGTAGGTAACTACAACGACGAATGCGTGTACATTCAGTCTATCCCACATTGACACGTGCTAAGTATGTTCTATAGATAGAAATTTATATTAATGACAGTACAAATACTCTGACTGTCCGCGTACATTTATAAACCGACTACTGTATTGAATGACTCATAACAAGCTAAGCAATGTATGGTCGGTGGTATCGTTTAGGAGCCAGTTGCATCTACGTTAAAATCATGAGTAGTAACGATACACAGGTCGGTACAGTCATTCGAGCAGCGGCGATATGAATTTATCAACGTTTCTTTCGAATACAAATGAGAATGAAGTAGGGCAAACTAAAAGAATATTTCAACCAGTTGATTGTCTGTGAAACTATAACATCTCGTTGAATTCGCGGCCGCCGTACAGTGCTCTGTGGTCCGTTTGAAATGACGCGTTCCTAAGTTTATCTGTTTTGTGCCGACTCCTTGCTAATCAGGGCGACAGGGAATTTTCAAAGGCGTAAATATGCTCGATTGACTCGAACGTATCTCTCCCGTGAGATAAGACAGAACGAAAGTCAAACAATAATAGGGGCGGCAAAAGAAATTTCGCCATTGAATTGCTATCTATCTGTGTCTATATTTATCGCAAATAGAAATGTCGCGTTCGGCTACATTGTGCGAGTTTGTGACACCGGTCATTAACGGCCAGCCTAAATCGTGTCTCGTTCCTGTAAACGCGTGCAGTTCGGTCGTATCGTTGGGTAAACGAATACGTAACGGAAAAATCGATGATTTGAAATATCCGCTAGTCGGCCATTGTGATAGTGAAGAGTGTGAAATTATCGAAATGGAAGAAAAAGGAATGGAATCGACGGAAACCACTCACCTTCTTTGTGGTAAATCGATTTACGAGACAATCGGCCGATTCGGAGGATCGACAGATAGTAAAAGAAGCACAGGTTTGATATCACTATGTCACAACACGTAAAAAGCACGCGACACCGGTTAAAGAACAATGTTCGAACTAAATCGTGAATTTAAATTCGGCCAATCGTAGCTTGTGTGCTCGCGCATCCATACGTTATATACGTCTTAAACCAGAAGTTGACAAATTGCAATAAAATATAAAAATCGATTTATTGCTAATTTCTATTTATTCTCAGGTGTAATTTAAAAAAACATATCATTGCCAGTTATCTGAGTTTAAAAATATTTGATAAATGAAATTGAAAAAAAGTGCGCATAAAGTATCTTGCTTTCAGAATCAGCCAGCAATTTTAGACACTACGCGATCGATCCAATATGTATGAATGTTCGTATCTTCATATTTTGGTTTTTATGGGCAATGTTAATAGTAGTACTGCTTATATCCGTTTTATCCTATTGTTGCATCGAACAAAAAACGTGCCTAAGTTCCAAGGAAATAATTTCTTCGAACACGACAATTCCGGTAAGCAATATGTGCAACACTTGCCATATAATTTGTTTACTTTTAAGTCAACAATATGAAATTATGTAACTGCTTCAATAAATTTTCCAGACATCGAAATAGTGCAAAATACAAAGTGTTCCCTTTTCCTAATCTGATGTTACCAAATAAGTCTACAAATAAAAAATCGATGTGTCCATAAAGATAGCATATTTTTCTGTTATCAGCAAGATATAAGATAAGCACTTAATTCCTCTGCTTACGCTGACAGAGCTACTACTAAACTCAGATGTATACGAATGCAGAGATTACAACATTGTTGAAATCTGTATGAGAATAAATAATAATGTAAACATCAGAAAAATGATTCATATAGTATTCTTATCATGTATAAATAGACAGAAAAATGTTAATTATATTTAAAAAATTGTATTTTTTTATTTTGTACACGCAATCTTAAAATAATTAATAAATGCGCATAACCGTCAAAGAATTTTTTACGCTGCTCTTTCATGCAAGCATGCATGCTATTCGTCGTTCGAACGGTTGAATTGAAATCAGAGCATTTGCATCAGTTCTGGACTGTGACACCATGGAACCCCGCGCAATTATTTTTAACAAAGAACTTTCTATGCATTGAATTACGTGTTTTAATTCAAAATCCTTTGAAAGAATTCCTTAATTTAACACTATTTTTCAGTTCCACAGTGCATCTAATCAAATTTCTAATTGCATTGCATAAATATAAATCTGAACGTAAGCATTATAATTACTATATTATACACCCTCGTTTCAAGGAGAGATACATATTTAGTACATTGACCGATTTCTCCAAGATTCTTTCATTTTTACGACTCATATCTCGATATTATCTATTCTTGTTCTAAAGCGACGATATTTTTCGGGAACAAGGGTCGTCCCTGATTTTCCTTTATTCCATGTGCTTGTGTTGGTAAAAGTAAATAGGTCCAGTGACAAAAAGGGGAGCGAGAACCAACCAGATATCTCGTTGGGGTAAAACGCCTTTCTCCAGTCATTCTTCAAGCTGAAGCATTAAGGGAACAGTGTTCCAGAGCTGCAGAAGGTTCATCAAGAAGGGAAGATAGTTTTCTGCGAAGAATTTCGCACATCCCCATTCAGTAAGATAATTTCGAGTACGTTATTGATACCGTTCGGTGGTCGCAATGGAGAGTGGGAGGTCAGATTTAGATGGCGTCGAGGCGAACGGGATAGCGAAAGAAACGGCAGTTGCCACGTACAAGCCGTTGTCAGAGGACGACTCTACTAAGCAAGATAAAGTAGAAACTCCAGCAATGGGAAAGCCAAACAACGAGAACGAAATTGACGATGGGGTCCACGAAAAGATGCTCAAAGATGAGAGCAAAATCTCTCCTACGAAAGATACTACCGAGGTACGTTAGTAGGCATATTTTCAGAAGACACGCTCGCCATTGCGCGATCAATAAGACACACTGTTCGAAACGCACAATTCAATATATTTCTTCTCTTTGATAATGAGTGTTTCTATTATTAGATTGCTTCGTACAAATATGATTGATATTCTTTTTATTGCATTTTTAGTACGCGTTAATCTACATTCCTTCAAACAGCAGTTTCTTCTTCAGTAGTAACAAATAATCCATCTACGTTCTAATTTTTTTTTTGTCAGATACTTCGAACCTTTTTATATATATTTTATGTGTATATATATTTTGTTTTTAATTCATCTTACATTAAACGTATTATACTAAGGAAAAAATCTCTTACTGTTACATCATCTTGGATTGGGGAGATAAGTCTGGAAATAAATGTTAGGGAAATAACCATGATTCACAAACCGTTCGAACGAAATGTATGCGCATGTATACTCGCTGAATTTTTACGTAAAATATTATTTTTTGAACAGGTGAAGTTTATTTCTGAAAATGGAGATGCCAAGATTGATATTGAGACAGTTAAGCAAGCACTTTCTGGCATGGGAAAAGAGGAATTAATGAAATTTGCTAATGATCCATACTGGATTAAATTGAGATGGTTTTTATTTATTGCATTTTGGTTATTGTGGTTTGCCATGTTGGCTGGTGCTATAGCTATTGTAGCAGTGGCTCCAAAATGTGTAGCACCAGAACCCAAAGAATGGTGGGAGAAGAGTCCCATTGTTCAATTAGATCCTCAAGAAACCATCAGTTCTAACTTAAAGGGTGTGGTGTCATTGCTAGATCTTTTGAAACATCAAAATATAGATGCAATATCTCTTGCATCCATAGTTAAAGAAAGTTTAACAGGTATATGTTTATGCAAATTTTACAG